GCCCGCATTTCTTGGATGCATTTGCAGTGTTCCCTCTAAGCTCAGTCGGTGTGAGCGAGCTCACCGTTTTCTAGCCTCCGGCTCGCACGTTTTTGGCTTTGCTCAGAAAGGAGGGCTCCAGAGCAAACTCATTGATGCAGCAGCCCAATCCCTCGCTCACAACTCTAATGCCAGGAGCTCACAAGGTTGAATTTTTGCTCACAAGAGCCCACAGCTTAGCAGTGTTCCCTCTAAGCTGAGTTAGTGTGAGCCAGCTCAGTTTTCCAGCCTCCGGCTCACACATTTTTGTCTCTGCTCAGGACCCAGGATGGCTCCAGAGCAAACTAATTGATGCAGCAGCCCAATCGCTCGCTCACAACTCTAATGCCAGGAGCTCACGAGGTAGCATTTTTGCTCACAAGACTCCGCAGCTTGGCGGTGTTCCCTCTAAGCTGAGTCAGTGTGAGCCAGCTCAGTTTTTCAGCCTACAGCTCAAACTTTTTTGTCTCAGCTCAGGACCTCGGATGGCTCCCTCAGGACCTAGGATGGCTCCAGAGCAAACTAATTCATGCAGCAGCCAAACCCCTCGCTCACAACTCTAATGCCAGGAAGCTCACTAGGTAGAATTTTTGCTCACAAGACTCCACAGCTTAGCAGTGTTCCCTCTAAGCTGAGTCAGTGTGAGCTAGCTCAGTTTTTCAGCCTCCAGCTCACACATTTTTGTCTCAGCTCAGAAAGGAGGGCTCCAGAGCAAATGAAGCTATGCAGTAGCCCAATCGCTCACTCACAACTCTAATGCCAGAAGCTCACAAGGTAGAATTTTTGCTCACAAGACTCCACAGCTTGGCGGTGTTCCCTCTAAGCTGAGTTAGTGTGAGCTAGCTCAGTTTTCCAGCCTCCGGCTCACACATTTTTGTCTTCGCTCGGGAAGGAGGGCTCCAGAGCAAACTGATTTATGCAGCAGCCCAATCGCTCGCTCACAACTCTAATGCCGGCAACTCACAAAGTAGAATTTATGCTCACAAGACTCCACCGTTTAGAGGGAGCATTGGATGTGTGGTGCAAAGAAACAAACCCGGTCCTGGTGTGAAACCCTCTGGGGGCTGTGGGGTTTTAAAAACATTTTATTTTTAAATACAAAAAGGAGAGAGTGCTACCCAGTACCAAAAAAAGCTAATATTGGTATATTGACCCAACTCTCTATATACATGACAGTGTTTCCAATTTAACATTCTCCTCTATTTTTTGCCTTTTCTAATATACAATAAAAGATCTCCATCTTCGAATAAAGGCAGTCTGCGGAAGCATTCTCTTTTCACAGAATCACAGAGCTGGAAGGGTCCCTAGAGGCCATCCACTCCAACCCCCTGATCAATGCAGGATCAGCCTAGAGCATCGCTGACAAAGTGTTTGTCCAGCCGCTGCTTGAAGACTGCCAGGGAGGGGGGGCTCACCCCCTCCCCAGGCAGCTGAGTCCACCGTTGCACAACTCTGACTGTCAAAATGTTCTTCCTAAGACCCAGCCGCCACCTTCCCGCCCTTAATTTAAACCCATTATTGCGAGTCCTGTCCTCTGCTGCCAACAGGAACAGCTCCCTATCCTCCTCTGACAGCCCTTCAAATACTTTGAGAGAGCAATCATGTCCCCCCTCAATCTCCTCTTCTCCAGACTGAACATTCCCAAGTCCCTCAGCCTTTCCTCAAAGGGCTTGGTCTCCAGGCCCC